TTAAAACTGTTGATGCAATTATGGAAAAAGCCTTAACGGTGCTATTCTCTACTATATATACTGTGAGTTAACTTGTGATATCATGGTTGTCGATTAAGTTAGAAACATCAGTGCAAAATATTTTGTTGTATGTAATGTTTAGTAGTCATTTGTGCTAGATAGGTGCGGCTTTGAGCAGAAGATATCCATATATGGAACAGGCCATTTTGAGAGATTTCTTAGCCTGTTTGCTTTTTGTGGTTCAAGAAAATCATAAACAGAAAGGAAAATCATATTTCGTTGTCAAGCTTTTCTGAGACGATAAAATTGCTTCACCAATTATTTGTGTTTTCTAAAAAAAAATGTATCTTTCACAAAATGTTGAATTATTGCTTTAATTTTATGTGACAGGCCTCATTTGGTCATAAGTCAACCCAACACATTAAAAACAAAGTAGGACACATGTATACACATGACATGGAGTCTTTACCTTTAATGAAATGTGACGTAACAACCAAATTTGAGCTATTAAACTAATTATTTTCCAAGGGTAAGTTAAGAGAGAGAATTTTTAAGTGCTAAGACACTTTAGATCACCTGGGGGGTTTGAAAGTTAATTAAAATTCCAGTTTTAAAACCAACTTCTGGATTAATGTGGCTTTAGGTCTCACACAAAGCAGCCGGGGGAAATATCTCAGTTCTTGAGCAGTGTTGCTGCTAAAAAAAACATTCATATCTCTTTTTTAGTTATCCCTGTATAGAGGCTAAGGAGAGAGTTATTCTATTGAAACAAAGCATTGCTTTGGATGTGGAGAGAAACAATCCCCAGTCCCCGGATTTGTGTGGTATGTCACCCTGAAGTCTACTTTCTCAGTGGCTTTACAGCTAATTCCCCCATTCTTCTCTGCTGCGCTTAGTGCAAAAGTACAAACACATACACCACCCCCTGCCTCACACAGACACGCATGCCAGTGCATGTTTTTGCACACACACACACACACACACACACACACACACACACACACACACACACACACACACACACACACACACACACACACACACACACACTTTTCTTTACTAATCAGCCCTATTGAATTCCAGCAACAATGGGCGCTCATCCTCGGGCCACCCAAGCAGTGCACACACTCACACACACACATGCATACACACCAACACCAGCATCACCAGATCACGAGTTCACTCTTTGTTCCTTCATTGTGTTTTCCTCTCCTCCATTGATCTCACCTTCACACAGGTCAGGAGTTGGCACTGGGAGATCGTGTTATCTGGACTATCAGCTGCTATCTTGGCCCACACACAGAAAGGAGAGAGCTCCATGTACCACGTTAACATCTTACATTACTGTGTAGAAGCACACAATTAATGCTAAGTCGTATGTTCATGATTCCAAGCCATAATGCATAGACTAAGATATTCTATTATTGTTATTTTCAAATGACTTTGCAGGTGTATTGTATATTTGTTAAACTTTTTTATTTGACTTTGCCTCTGTTGTTCATCCTACTTTCCCTCTTGAAAAACGTGTCAGATTTTGTGTACATCTCTGTCAAAAAATTATTTGAATTCAACCAATTTTTCCAGTTCTTTGATCCAAACTATAAAACCTAAAAAGTATCTAAACATGGGGACAGCAGTTTAAATATATTTATCTACTATTATTTTGTATTGATTATTTAATTATCAAGCACTTTAAAATATAATATGGTGTTTTATTTTACCAAATCCTTTCACATGAGGGTCAGAATGAGTACAAACCCCCCAGGAGCTGGTTAGAGTGATGTCAGACTTCTGGTTAAAGCATGGTCTCTCCGTATTCATTGCACCATGCTGTTGTCCCCACCCTGAATATCCTCTTCATAACCCAAGAAAAAAGAAAAGTTCAGGTCAACGCCATAAAACTGTAAAGCTATCTCTTGTTTCTTATCTGATATACCTCTATAGGCTACAAGGCATAGTGCCTGCGGGAAACTCAAATAGACCAGAGTTTTCTATGTGTGTGTCTCTGTAAATCTATTGAAACCAGTCTGTGTCGTCACATTTGTTTCCGATTATTTCATTAATTTATTCTCTGGCATTTAGAAGAAAATGAATGGGTACTTTACATTGTTTATGTCTTGCCTTAGTGTACCCTTAAATTAAAATGTTTTAGTGTTGCAACCACATAAAACAAATAAGTATTTTGATTCTGAAGATATGTTACAATGAGTTACTGATTAGCAAAACACCCCAGAATAATATTGCCCTTTGTGGGTGAAAATACATGTTTTCTCTCTGTGCTCTCCTAGGTTTCTTACATTCTCCTCTGCTACTTTTGAAAAAACCTTGTTCAAAGTGAACAATATTCTGAACATTAAATGACCTTCTCTGCCTCCACCCGTAACTAGAGAGCGTGTTTCCATTTTCTTGTGACTGGGCTCTGACATTAAATACAATATGTTCTCCCAGGCTGACAGCAATTAGGGGGCAAACTTTTTTAATATTGAATCTCGTCAGCATGTTTACTCCTGTATGAACATTGTGTTGTACTGTGAGCTTTCATGTGTGTGTGAGTGTGTATGAGGTTTGGTTTTAGCGGTGGACGTGCATGACAGTAACTTCAAAAGGCTGAGGTATCAGATTCAGACATGGGCTGCTTTGCTTGGGCTGACAAACGAGGAGCTGTTGTGTGCGAAGCGAAGGAATTTACAGCATCTACCTTTCATCTACACAGGTGGGCCTGTGTGTGTGTGTGTGTGTGTGTGTGTGTGTGTGTGTGTGTGTGTTTGTGCGTGCGTGCGTGCGTGTTTGTGTGTATGAGGCGGCAAGGGTGGGTATGTGTGTTTGCCTTTGAGTATGTAGTTTGTTTTGTGTTTGAGTTTTTAAGAATGTGTACTGCACATAAGCATAGTAGTGATTTGTGTGTGAATGTCTGTGTGTGTGTGTGTGTGTGTGTGTGTGTGTGTGTGTGTGTGTGTGTGTGTGTGTGTGTGTGTGTGTGTGTGTGTGTGTGTCTGCATTCACAATGGCGGAGATTTAGACAGACGAGTCACAACAATGTTCCAGGAAGCCAGTGATCCCAGACATTTTCCAGGTGGTTCAACGCTCAGTTCAGTGGTTCTCTGAGTTAATTAGTTGTTCATCAAGTGGAGACATTTTAAACTCTACTGTAAAGAAATATATATTGCCAAATGTTGTCATCTATCAATATAATATGAAATCTGATCAAACAAGCAGGAATGTGACAGTAAAGTGTGTAAGGTTCATACACAATATGAGGGATTATTTCCTAACCCAGGTTTGTGGGTTTTTCAGTGGGTGTCAGGTGACTGACAGGAAGCAGAGCGTTGCTCAATATGAACACCCTCACCTCAGGCACAAAGAAAGAATAAAGCACAACTTAAACCTATGAAATTCTATCGTGTAGTGAGTTATCTATTAGTTGTTAAACAGTTGTTATCAGGATATGTCTGAGGCAATATTCAAGTAACTAATTTTTCACATTACACAAACAAGTAAACAATTGACTTCTTAGGGTACTATAACAATCCCGACTTTGTGTCACTTAGTCCCCTGACTGCACTTAACATAAAACAGACTAAATGAAGACTCTGATAACAATCGTTGGATGTTTCATTGTTTTTCATAACCCGGAAAATGAAAGTGCCAGACACACATGACAAATCTGGTAGACATACGACCAATAGTAGGGTTAAAATATAAATAGGAAGTGTACCCTGATGGTGGACTTAGAGGAAATGCCAATAAGGGGCCATAAAAGACAACCAACAGCTGACATCGTATGCCTGAGGGTGGCGGTAGATGAAAGTTGAAAGAGTGTCCAAAATGTAATAGGTGAATTTTTGTATAGAAATCTCTATATTCAATTTGTAGATATAACTAATAAGTTGTCAAGGGAAAATATGTTACCAAAATCTCACACACACATCTCTGCATGTATAATCAGTTGTCACTGCTCTTGAAAAAATATGTCAATGTCACTGATGCTGCTTGTTGAAAATAAGACGTTCATTAAGATCAAGTTTGGTAATTAGACAAGGAGTTCGGATTCATTGTGGATCAAGGTTTTACTGTATTTTCAGGCAGAGACTTGTTGAAACTGAAGCAACTCATGAGTTTCCTTTCAATTATGGCTGAATAACCCAGGCATTGCACACCAACTTTACAAGGTAATGAGTTAAATACGACTGAGTCGCAGTATCATATTTCAAAAACGGTTGATTCATCCAGGGATTCATACAATCAATACAGATTGGAGTAAGGTACTTACACTATACATTTAGTTGACTTTTGTGAACTTTCTTGGACTAGGTTATCAGCATTTTTTTTTTTTTTAATTAATTTCACTTCAATAGGATGCCCCGTTTATAGTCACATGCATATGCTTTGATGTAGCCTGTATAACCTCTCTTTGATGGAGTTTATAACATTAATTGTTTCAATGAGAATTAGGCCTTAACTAACTGTTTTTATGATACATGGATACATTTTTGATAACGGTCCTGACCCCTGAGCTCTTTGCAGGGTCACAGATAATCACACACAAACACATTCAAAATGACAAGCAACGACCACAGAATCACTTTTTTCATTCAATTTATTTTGTTAGTTAAATTTCTATAGCAGGTGAGGGAACATAACGGTCACATAAGGGTTTTTTCTTGAGCATAGTTTTCAGAAGTCACAGTGTTTTAGACATGGACAAGAACATTTAAAAAAAAACTGACAATGAAGAAGGAAGGGCCAAGAGGAAACTTAAAAACAAGGTGTTACAGTGACACAATCCTACACACCTTCTCCTTCATGATCCTCCAACTGCCCCCTTTGCTCCACCAAAAAAAAGGCCTCTGCTCTAAAGTGTTGTCAACCCCTCCCTCCCACAACCCCCCATCCCAAAATGCAAACAAAACAAAACAAAGCAACAAAACAAAAAAGAACTCAGCAACAAATAGATATATTTATATATAATATATATTCACTCTTTAAAAATAGAACTTCAGTCTAGATACTAACATCTGTACAAACTACAAAAATAAAATTTTAATATAAATAATTTATATGGCATGACATTAACATTTTTTCTTGAAATAAACTACAAACCAATGCAGGAGCTTCCCCCTCGACCCCCCTCCCTTTTACACTCCTCACCGCTGTATGACAACACCTGCTGGCGGTCTATGGTCTGATAAACTGTGAATGGTGCTTTGCTCATTCTGTTTAATTATTCATAACTGCACAGTAGCTACTTAACTTTTCTTTCATATGTACAAAAGAAACCAAAGCTGCCACTTAAAAGAAAAAATGATATTAAAAAATAGATCCGCAAGTTTTTCCCTGCAATTTAACCTGGCAGTGATGAGACCAATATTGAACAACAATAACAACAACGAAAACGTTGTAAAGCGTAAAAATTACATGAGAGTCCTAAGAAGGAATTGTATTGTGTAATATTATGAGGTTTGAATTAGCATAAGAGTGAGAAATTAGAAAGTGAGCAGGTTGGAGCATTATAAAGACTAAACCAGTTTACATAATATTTGCAACAACATGAACGTGTTACAACCCTAAGGCAGCCAGCAAAGAAAAAAGAAGAAAATTATTATTATTACAAAATAAAATCACTCCCTTTCATTCGATTTTTTATAATTCCCTTTCAAAGTAATATCAGTAGGTGAACAATTGTCAAACACAAAGTGACAAATGTGAACTTCACCCACTGTAGAGCTTACAAAAACTGCTGAAGAAAATAAAATCTTATCACAGCTCCTTCAAGTAGTTTAAAACTGCAGAGGATGTTGGGACACCCAGAAAAAGATTTGACATTAAAATAGACTTAGGTGTGACACTGCCAGATAGATGGACAGATGACGGTCGACTACTGCTTCTTGACAAACATTCTGTGTCTGGACGAGACAAAACACATTAACACCAAAGCGAGAGGACATAATACTGAGCGCTGATTGCTGTGATAATAAGAAAAACGGGACAAATTGAAGGCACGACGGTTACTACTGAAAACAGTAGGTGCTGTCGAATTCTCTGCTTTTAGACAAAGAAGATCTATAATTGAAATACAACAGAGAGTGTGTCAGATACAGAACATCTCACAGTAAAATACTGTTTATAATATACTGAATTAAACCAGAGGGGGAAGAGGGGGTACTGCATTTTTTTTAAGGCAAATCACTTACAATTATTTTGAAGTGTAGCAGCAAAAAAGGAAAAAAAAGAATATCTTAATAACATCTGACTTTTTGTGGACACTTTTTACATATAGCACATTTTATTCTATACACTGTGGGGCGAAAAGAAAATCAACCGCTCCACGAAAAAAATAATCTTTTACATCTGAACTTTTACACAAGAGTATACCCAAGTTATACAGTACTCTTTTAAATAGCTTCCTTCTTTTTTAGTATTAAAATATATACTCATAGATTTATATAATTCTTAAAACGTCCTTTTTTTCTTAATATGTCCATGAAATAAATCCTCTCCTTTGTGTAAGAATTCTATGTACAGTTGAGAGTTCAAGACGTGACGCGATGCCAGGCGTCAAGGTGCTCAGGGGCAGCAGCCAGAGACTCGGAGACAGAAGGCTTGTGAGAGAGTCTAGCAATCTTTAGTTACCTGGATCCTCAACCCACCTAGAGCAGAAAAACACAGAGGAGAGAAAAAGGTTAGATATTGCTAAACGGCATTCAAGCGCAGAAAATAGATACTGGAAATCGTATTGAAAAAGCTAAATGTAATTCTTGATTTGTTTTACGGTTATGGTCAGTTTCTATATGCATGTTTAGAGGATTATAATACCACTAAATGTAAGATTGACTGGTTACTAGCTCACCTTGTGTCTTGCCGAGTTTATGCTCTGTCTGGCTCTGTGTTGCTTCCAAGTCCTGGAGCTCTAAAGAGTCTCTTTTACATGAAGAAAAGTTTGTTTTGTCACCACGAGTCCTCTTAGCAGCCTCAAAATAGTCCGACTCACTGTCCGTTTCAAAACCTTCATGCATGTAGCCTTGGTAAGCCGCCCCCGGCAAGGTAGGGTGCACAGCCACTGTCACCGAAGCTGTGGCTGTTACCATGGTAACAGGTCCCCCCATGGAGACTTGTTGCATCGGCAGGGCGGAGCTGCTATTAGTATAGCTTGGCCCTTTAGTCCTGTTTGGCTGAGGCCCTCTGCCGTTCTGCAGCCTGGGGCCGCTTTGACAAGTCCTCCCATGTAAGTGAGGTCTCTCGCTTGGTAAGTGTTGTGCCGAGAGTCTCTGGAGGCCCGGCTGCTTGTTTCCATCCCAGCATGTAACCTGGGATCCATTGTGGGAAGATTCATTTAGCGGTTCGATCCTTCCACCAGTTCCTGCTGCATTTTCTCTGAACGGCTTCACCACCTACAACAAATAAAATGTCATCGTTAACTTCTAGAAGAACACATGAATTTGAAGAACAGACAGGAAGTGGTTTCTATCTTATATGTGTGGACATGCAGCGTACCGTAAGTTTGGGGAAGCTTGGGTTCTTGCTGGCTTCCAGCAGTATGTGAGATGTTGCAGTTGGAAGGCCGGATTCTATGTACGCACTCCGATCACAGTACTTGTAATCCTCCTCCCCGATCCCTGAGGTGGTGGTCATCTCCGAGTAATACTCCGAGTCTGAACACTCTGAAAAAGCCTGTTGACGAGACACCCGCGGGTTGTGGTGGCCGGTGTAGTATCCATGGTGGGTCATCGGTGGAGGCAGTGGGGGTTCAGGGGAAGGCACCGGCAGGCGGCTGGCATTATCAACCAGGGTGACCTCAGACGGGGGTCCCATCAAGGACAAGAGGACCGGCAGAAGAACCAAGCCGTTCAGCATCCCCAAAAGAGTGAGGATGGCCAACACAGCAAAGAAATACCTGAAGAACGAAGAGAAAAGGGACGTTAGTTTGAACATGAGCCTAAAGGAGACACAGTTAGTGGCAGAATTAAATAGTTTCCTATATTCAATCTCTCTTGGGACACACAGTCACAGTCACACAGGCCCACAATCCTTTCATTCTTATTTTCCTTTGCATGGTTTTTAGGGATCTGGCCAAAGTTCAGATGGATTTAGTGTCAGAAAAACTCATGAAAATGTTGACAACACTTAACGTTTGACGTAGATTTTAATTTTATGCATTTTAGTGCGACAAGGAAATACCACAGTTACCAGATGTTTTATATGGACACACTAACACATATGCACATCTCTAAACTCACACACAGTTGGCACATGAGGAAGGGAAGTAGCTCAGGGGAAGAAGTCAGGGAAAGCCCAGTGTTTGTGTATCAAAGGCAGGGGGGCAAATCTGATTCCCACTCAGTCCAACTAAAACATGCTTTGATGCCTCTACTGCGGCCGCTACAAGACTTGTCTCTCTCTGTTTTTCAGTGAGTGTGTGCGTTTCTTTGCGTGTGCGTGCATCTCAGTGGAGCTTTGAGGAGGCCAGGGGTGGAGGCAGGCCACAAGAAAGAGCTCCCCAAGAAAATTAGAGAGGACTCCACTTAAACACTAACAGAAAGCAGAAAGAGAGAGAGACAGTAAGATGCTAACCACCAGCCAGACTTAAAGAGGTAAAAGAAAAAAGGAGGAATAAAATGATTGTTGGAACGAAGGGGGAAAAAAGCCAACAAAGACGGGGATAATAGCTGTGTGGTGTTCTGGAAACAAGCTACTCTATCCCTGAATGGACTTCCACAATTATTATTACTACTACTTCACTTGGCAAAGGTCACTCTTCAGGAAAAAGTTGAAGGTTTGCATGTTGGGTGGGATTTCACAATTTCCTTATTCGCACCAATTTCAGCCCCCAACTCTCTCTGAAATATTTTCTTCTTTAACCTCTGTTCTTGTTTTTTTTTCCTTTACAAGAAGCAAAACACATGTCATCTTAACCACTTTTGACAAAACACTTCAGGGGGATATTTTCATTTTCTTGCTGTCTGCCCAACCCATGACTGCCTTTCAACCACACACAGATATTTTATCTGAACGCTTTATTGAATCAAAGCACAGATGCTGAAAACAAAAATAGGTTGTCACCATTTTACGGCACAGCCTTTGCCTCAACTTGCTTTATTCCAAAACAACAGTTTTACAGAGTGAAACAAAACAAAAAAAGAGAAGAGAAAGACAGAAAGAAAGAAAGTGAGACGTTTGTGGGACCTCCAACAGTGTCTCGCTGTTAGGAATTCTGTTGTTTATATAAACTGTAATCTTTTCCATTCGTTGTCAGGGCCTGGGGAGCTGCGTGTGTATGAGAAGGAGATCGTAAGTGTTTACATGTCTGTACATATGTGCATTTCTTTTTGCGCGTGTGTGTGTGTGTGTGCACTCATATGTGGTCCGCATGTGTGTGCATGAGAGAGAGAGGACTGAGCACAGCTATGCTTGCTGTTTATTCAGTGCATTACAAGGCCAGGGGATGTTTACAGCGGTATATTTATGCTGCTCCCCAGCTAGCCAGCTCTGGCTTGCCCCATTCACCCGACCACAGCTACAGCTAAACAAGACCTCCAACCGAGATAGTAGACCCTTCTGTCTCTCTTTCTCACCCCTTCCTCTGAAAAGGATCTCTCACAGATGCATGGCAGAAAAGAAGAAAACAAAGTGCTGAAAACGGTTCCCTCTGACTTTCTTATTCCCAGTCCTACTTCATATTTACTCTAAATGTTTCCCTATTTACACCTCTTTATCTTTTCAATCCAAAACCGTGGAGGATTTGTTCTTCTTCCCACCCACCAGGACCTTGTATTCTTTAAAGGAAGCCACCCTCAAAGTATTTCTCCTCCTTTCCATGCTTCTGTCTCTGCAGAAAATCTGGGCTTTTTATGTCATGGAGGCCTGTTGCAGTCTGTGAGCTCAAGGCTGTGGTTTCGGGTTTGGGCCTAGACCACATTCAGCTGAAAAACATTGAGCTATTTGCCTTTTTTCCACTCTGACCATGAAACAGTGGTAGAAAACACACAAAAGCACACACTATGTGCACGCAGACACACACACACACACTGAGGAGAGTGATGTCTGTTGGTGGGCTTCAGACCATCTGACTGCCTGACCGGTTCAAATTTAGCTCCAATTTTTATTACGGCACCCAACGTGGAGGGACAGAATGCCAAACGGATGATAGGAATTTTTACAGATTCCCCCTTGTATGTGTGTGTGTGAAAGAAACGCAGTGAAAGAGAGGGAGAGAGGGAAAGACATCACCCAGTGGGTAGCAGAACACTTCCATGTTTACGAGCAGCTGCTTATACACACCCTTGATGTTTTCCCCATTTGTTGTGCTGTGAGGTTGAGGAGACGGGTGTGTGTGCTCAGAGTGACAGAACCAGGTGCATATTTGTTACTCTGTGTGTGTGTGAATGTGTGTGTGCATAAATAGGGGTATAACATTTCCACCTGCATGCAACCCTGACCCCCCACTAAGCTTCCTCCCAAAGTAATGATGGACAACTGGCTCCTTACAAATACAAGCACACACACACACACACACACACACAAACACTAGTGGCGCAAAACCAAAACATTAAAAGGTAACAAATGGGCTGTAGAGGCTGTGTGAGTTAGCAGCGTCACTCATAAGAAAACACACACACAGATGCAGACACACACTGCTTCTCACCTCATGATGAAGTCAAACTCTGACCCTGCCAGCATGAGAATGCCCAGCAGCGTGGAGATCGCTCCGTCGACCACCGGAGCAAACATGTGCTCCAGAGCCACTGCCGAGCGCTTGTTTCTGTTGCCAATCGCTGTCAGGAAGCCCTGCGGCGGAGGGGAGAAGAAATGAGTTGGAAATCTTGCCGATCACACAAAAGTAGTGCTTGCGGCGAGGCTTGGCATTCCTGCAATTTGGTTTTGTTGGGGATTACTACACTACACTACAAGACAGTACACTATGCTTGAAAGCTGCCAGCATGAACCAGGAAGCCAAATGTTTCCTCGTAAATCTTTAATCACACTTAGTTTACCTTTTTTGACTTTCCATTTCAGGCATTAAGTCACAGGACACTTAACAACAACTTAAATGTTTGCAATGCAGCTTATTGCTTTCTATAAAGTGGTAATTATAAATCCTTGTTTCAAGAAAAATACATTCAATAATAGTACATTTTCAATTATGTGGCCACACCTCAGTCTGTAGTAGGTATTTAACATTAAGACCAAAGCATCAGGTTTCAAGTAAAGTATGGTGTTTAATTACAGTTAACCCCTATGTGTGCTCTTGCTCTGTGCTGGGTGTTCACCTACCAGTGCAATGTGTACGGTAAACTCCACTCCGATGCCCACCGAGGCGATCAGGATGACTACAGGGATGGCGCTCAGCTTGATGCCAATTAGACCCATGATGCCAAACAGCTCCACTGTCATCATAGCTAAGATAAACACCTGAAACGAAAACATGGAAACAAAGTGTTATAAACTAAATCATTTTCAGCTGCCAGTATTTGAGAAGCATAGGATGATGAGGAAACAAGCAGTAAAACCAAAATAAAAGCATGTGAACAATAAAAGCAAATATGCCTCTCCTAAGTGACTGAATTCAGCCCTTTTGCCTCTTCACCCCACACAATCTTTGACCCTGTGCTCAGGGTCTCAACCACATGGCATCAAATTACCCGGCCCGAGGCTAATACCTTCCCCTCCTCCCTCCCCCTTTCCTTCTCAGAGGTGGTTGAAATGATTGACAGCGCCTGAGACAACAGAGTGTGTGCACTACCAGAGCCGTAGATACATCTGTCTGTGTTTGTGAGGAACAAATGACCTTGTTTTTTGTTATTGTTTCCGATATTTTAATGAAACATCTTGCAGTGTAATGCCTTGTTTTGGCTGACTCATAATCTTAATAGTAAACTTGCAAAGTTACTGTAAACCGCAACACAAACAACAACAACAACAACAACAACAACAACAACAACAACAAGTCCTAGAGAACAAGGAGGAGAAATCTGTTCCCGGCCAAAAGGAGCTTTTGATCCCAGCGGGGGCTTCGAGTTCGGGCATGGTTAAATTGGAAATGATAGAAGCTGTTTTTACTGCTCGACCACAGACAGGGTGAAACCTTCGTAGGCAGGCTGATGCTTGGAAACCGTACGTGCATGTACCGTGCCTCTCCCTCTCTGTCTGAGGAGACTGTGTTATGTTGCTGTCTCAATCAGTGCTGCTAGGGACCACTACCTAAATTGAACACATTCCAACTGAAACTGGCACTGTTGTTGAGCTATACTTCAGCCCCCCCAATGTTCAGGGATATGTGGATCTGTGTATGTGTGGGCCCTTAAGGACCACCAGTCCCACCAGCTTGTGTGTGAAATGTTTTCCAACTGCTGAACACTTAGACTGTCTCTTTCCCTCTTTCTCACACACACACACACACACACACACACACACACACACACACACACACACACACACACTCCTGATGGATGGGTTGAGCAGGCCAAGGTCGCAACTGGGCAGATCTGTCCTGTCCTTAAGTCTCTCCCTCTCCCCCTGACAAAAGCAGTAAGGGAGTTGGAGGTATAGGCTTCAGGAGGGCAAAGCCTTTCTTGCTCCTTTGCATTTCCTTTTCTATGGCCGGCCCAGCCTACATTAGAATGACAAAGGTCCCCGTGTGTGTGTGTGTGTGTACTGGCCCTCCGCAGAGAAAAAGGGGCCCCCTAGACAGCGTTATTGAGCTGTGCTGAGAAGGGGTGAGAAAAAAGTGAGAGGAGGAAGGGGCTAATGATGTTGTTGAGGTAGCATGAGTGGAAGGATGAGGAGAAGTTATGATGAAGAGTTGTACAGAAAACTGATTGCTTGCTTACAATGATGCCGGCAGTCCAGGGGTTGAGCAGGAGCATTGCACAGACCAGGAAGGTGCAGGCCAGAACCACGCTGATGGCCAGCAGGAACCAGTGTCTGAGGCCAATGTACTGCTCCCAGAACAGGAATGGGTATCCGTTAGGGTAGTTTAACACGCCTTTGCGGCTAAATTCGTCGCAGATGGACCGCACGCTCTCGATGGCCTCCACAAAATCGCTGGCCTGGCGAAGTCCGTTTAGGTAAAAGGGGAACTGAGCAAACTCCAGGGGCTCTGCAGCTGGGACTGAAGAGAAGATGAAGATAAAAGTCAGACTTAGTATGATTTACTATTTAGAATGTATCTACTTTTGCCAAAATAAATGGTTGAAATAGGATACTTACTGCGTAGATTCTCTCCTGTGGTGTCATACTTGTCGTGAATCCACTCACGAGGATGGGGGTAGAAGTTGGCCTGGGAGGCTGCGTAGCCCAGAGGATCATTACTGACCCAGACTGTGAGGTAAATGTAGAACACCTCTGCAGGGATCAAACCCTCTGCATCCACCAGCCGACGAGCAGTCAGCTAGAGAAAGGAAATTCAGAAATACTGAATTAATGGACATTCTTGAATTGCGTTGTAGTCCAAATGACAGCTGATAATGTATTGGTTCACTAAGCCACACAAGTGGATTCCTTTTTAGAGCTCTCGCAGACATACCTGGCTGTAGTTGAAAGGCTCTTTCTTGGAGCCGGTCTGGATGAGAAGCTTGTACGCCAGCGCTCCGTCCTCTGTGCCGTTACGATAGCTGTCAGAGGTAATCCTGCCTGCGAGCCAGTCAGCATCAAAAGCAGACTGAAGACCTACGTGTGAGGTAAGACATGCAGAAAAGAAGAGAAAAAAATGAGTGTGGTGGTCATTTATAAATATTGAGTCTTTCATTATCATGAAATTATAGCAGACTTCCATTTATCTCTCTAGTGGCTGTGGTGTTGAACATGTAAAATATCAAGTTTCCTTTTCATCTGTTTTTTTTTCCATCTGGCGGGGATTGCACAGTTTAGTTAGCACTTCCTCCTGACTGGGCCTATGTAGCCTGAGGACACACACCCACACACGCATGCAAAGATAACCTACGACCCCAACCCCTCTACTTGCACCACCCCTGAGCCCAGGTGGACGAGGGTAAACAGCAGGGTTGAACTTTCATTCACCCCTTCGCACATTTTCACCTCTGTGAACACACGCACTCATTCACGCCTGTTTTGAGTAAAGAGAGCGCACCTGAAAAAACCGGTTGCACCCTTTACCAGATCCCGACATCATTATCAAAAACTCTCAGGGGAACAGAGAACCTTATTGCCTGACTGACTCAAAAGATAATAATATTACTGAGCTTGTATTCCTACCTCTGAGCCAGTCCTGGAAGTAGTGCAGCCACATGCGGGGCAGTTTGCTGTCGCTGTCTCTGACCACATATTTCACAGAGTTGAAGGCGTTGTGCAGCTGAATCAGCAGCCTCTGTGACCGGGCGTAATCAAATCCATCCATAGTGACCAGGTACATGTTGTAGAAGGAGAAATACTTGAACTGGGCGTCGATGAAGTCATACTCCTTGGTGTCACGTGGCACAATGTCAGTTAGGTAGAGGCCGTCATGCACCATGGTGGTCCCGTACAGGCTGAGACCCAGGAGGCCCAGAAAGAGAACCACCACGATGGCTTTGCTTTTAGGCTTGAGGAGCAGAGGGGCATATTTATCTCTGGCGAAGCTGGAAAGGTTCCAGTGCATGAAAGGGAGTGGGACGCACTCCTTTCCCGATTTGGAATCCTCCACCTGGGCTAGGAGGTCCCGTGTGGAGCTGGAGGTAGGGGTGAAGAGTTGGGAGCCATAGGGGTCTGGCACTGAGGTGGTGGTGGGGGAAGGTGTGACGGCTAGAGGAAGGAAATACAGTTAGGAAATTAGAGCTTGTGATTCATTACTAGTTTCAGAGACTGCTTCATACAAAATAAAATAGTTGCCTGGATGTAAATATAGCTCTATATACCTTGAGGATGGGACGTGGGGCATACGATGACGGAGGGCGGGCTGGTGGAGATCTGTGAGGTAGGTGGTAAGATTGTGACAATATGCTGTCCTGCTGCGTCACACTGCGTGAACGCCTGCACCGTGGTGGTGATTTGAGTGCTGGTGGTGATTGTGGATCCCGCCGAGTACTGGTGCGTGTGCGTCGTTGCCGTGGTAGGCGTGGGCGGCTGCTCAGCGTCCGACAGCTCGTGAGGAGACAGGTGGATGACGCGGTCAGAGCAGGGGCTGTACAGGCAGCAGAGGACATCTAATCGCTTGTCCTCGCGTCGGTGGAGGTCCAAACTCAGGATGGCAGGGAAGATGAGCAGCACCATGGCGAAGTTAAACACGACCACAATGGCTGCCTAAGGAGGGAAACAAAAAAAGAGAAAAAACAGAGTGAGAAAAGCCAGAGAACAGTATGTGAAATCACAGACACCACAACCCAGCTGGGGAGAGTCAGGGCTCCTTCTTCTTCTTTTTTTTTTCTTTCTTGTATCTCAGACCACAGCCCAGAGAGTAAAGAAAAGCCTAACTCTAAATCACCAGCCAGGAATACTAAGCGAGCCAGAAGGGGAGAAGAAGAGAGGGAGAAGAAAGAAAAGGGCGCCAGAATGAAATAACTACTAGAGAGAGTGAGAGAAATGAGCGGGAGGGAATATATATGTTGCGAGTCTGAGCGAAACCATCACCCTTCACCACCAACGCCACTGCCTCCCCTCTCACCCCAGCCCCTGAAGCTGACATTCTAACTGGCTTTGGTTTCCAGTATGTGTGTGTGCGTGTATTTTTGAGCTTGCTCGTGTGTTTCAGACCACCCACAGTTAGTCACAGATCAGAGCAAAGCGCCTTGACGGGCCAGTGATATACTGTTCCACTCCTCCCTCCTTCTCTCTCTTTCTGTTCATCACTCTCTTTGCTCTGATTATTCAACATTTTAAACGTGCACGCACACACACACTCGAAAAATGTTGGCCCTGTAGGTGCAGCAGTAGTAAAACCAGGAACAAAGGCTGTCCTTGCTCTGAATGAATGTCACCTCTCTTAAGTTATCTCTTTCATTTTCAAAGGAGACTTTGGCCTCTTGGTGTGTGATTGTGTACATGTGTTTATGTCTGTGTGCATGCGTGTGGGGGTGTGTGTGCAAGACATACCTGCAAAGAGAATGCTCGCAAGGCCGGAATGGGTACGAGAGCAGCCATAAAGAATGCGATCATGTTGTTGATGGAAGTCAGGGCCACGCTGGTGCCGGTGCGACGCAAACAGTCTCCTGTCCGTTCCTTTAAAACAAAAAAAAGAGTGTTAAGAGGGTATGGGAGGAGAGGAGAGGAGGGGATATGAGAGGAGAGGAAAGGAGGGGATATGAGAGGAGAGGAGAGGAAAATAGAAGAGAATAGAGTCTTATAATTACCTTAAAGGGGATGTTAGTTCCAGCCACTGTGAAGGAATGAGCCAACAGAAACATGTCATCCACACCAATTCCAAGGGCCAGGAAGGGAAGCACCTTTGATGGGAAAGAGCCAGAATGAACAATGAACATCAAAATATGGCCTTAAAATCACAGAAAAGAGGACAACAGGAAGGTATCACTTCATTAAAGTATTGCATGTCCTTTGTGTTGTACCTGTGTAGTGGCAGCATTGAAGGAGAGGCCAAGCAGTGAGCAGAGACCCAGTCCTGCGGCCACTGACAGAGCCACCAACAGCACCCCGGCCAGCCCCACTGCACCCTGGGACTTGGAACAATCCCACCTTAGCATGGTCACACAGGCATAGGCGAGCTAGAGAGGAGAAATCCATATTAAATATTGGTTATTTCCCAGTGAAGTTGAACTTTTTTCATTCATTTACGAGCCAAAATGTATTGATATAAATCAGTTATAATGCTCACCATGAGGAGGTATCCTCCGGCCACCCTGATGACGCTGACATCGGAGAATGATTTCATGATGTCGTTGAGGGTGGTGGTGGAGAAACCTTGGATGGACTGGCTGGAGTTGGATGGGATACTCTGGTGGACCACCTGAATAAAAACATTACTCATCAATTGTCAAGATAATTAAAGTACTGGAGGAGCAGATCTGCTAACTGAACTTATTTTCACATGAAAACACACTTCCTCCCTTTGACCAATGCTTCCCCAGGCCTCTCCTACAGCCCCATATTTCAGGGTCTACGAACAGAAAAAGCCCCCTTTTCCTTTGAAATGTGCATGTGTGTGAAAGTGAGTCTGTGTGTGTGTTTTTACATGTGCTAGCATGTGTGTGAGTGCGTGTGTATGTATGACAACTGAGGAGTAATGAGCACAGATGCCAGAGGTTGTGAGGTCAAAGGTGAAAGGGATGGGATCACATGGCTCGGGAGGCTACTCTCTCTCCACTCTGTGCCACAAATGGACCAATGGCCTCCAAAAGCCATTAACCTGTTCCCATTTAGTAATCATTTGCAATCTCAAATAGGTTTGTTTTTGTTGTTTTATGTGTCAGGAGGAGGTGTCGTGTCTCTGTGAGTTTACGTTTGAGTTTGTGACCCCTCCTCCCATATGTCCCTCACTCTCCTCCCCCCCTCACCGTGGTGGGTGTCAGCTATCACAGCAACAGCTTGTTCCTATAACTAGGGCTCTGACAGAGAGAAATGGTTGGCCTACCACACACACACACACACACACACACACACACACACACACACACACACACACACACACACACACACACACTCTCTCGTCGTCGTACGACGACGTCGTCGTCGCGTCGCACACACACGCACACACACACACACACACACACACACACACACACACACACACACACACACACACACACACACACACACACACACACACACACACACACACACACACACACACACACACACACACACACACACACACACACACACGGGTCTGCCCTGCAATTGGCTTTACAAGGTAGTTGAAGACTGATGGAATTCAGACACTGCAAAAAAAGTCCCACACAGTGTTTGTGTTTGAGTGAGTGTTCACTAAAGCACTAAAGCAAAACATACTGCGTTTTTTTTCTGTGTGAGCATTTGAATAAACTTGTAATGTGTGATGTATGTTCGCACCTCCACAAACTTCCTCTGCCAGGACTCCAGGATGGCGGTGGCCTTATCTTCATTCCAGTTTATGTCGTGGATCTCGTAGTCGTCTTTAAAGTGCTCGTACAGCTGCTTAGAACTCATCAACAGGAACATGGTTTGGAGAGCCTCCGCACTGCAAAACAAAAAAATACAGATGTTCGTTTAGGATACCTCAGAGATGTCTGGCTCTTTTTGCAACCATGGTTTATTGTGTGTTGAGTTGAGTTGGAACCCTCCTCCACTGCATCATCCATCTCACGAATATCACATTAAAGTATTCCAGTCAGACTGTATAGATGTTCTTGGTATGCCTTTGCTTAACCTACACACTGGAACATGTCTTTCTGTGAATGGTTTAGGGCAGGTGCCTTTTTCTTCTAGGATCTCTCCTCCTGCCTGTCTGTCTGTCTTTCTGCCAATGTAAGCAGGTGTTATCTAGTCTGCATGTCTGCTGGTCTCTCGGCTGCAATCCCAGATGTCCTCAGGTTTTCCTGGCACACAAGCAGCGAGTAGCAGCACTGCTGCTAAAAATGTGAAAGAAATTACCATAAATCACATCTAAGAGTAAGTAAGTGTGGCTCTTGCAGATGGGACTGGAATCCTCTTTCATTCAAGTCTCTGCCGGGCCTGTGTGGGTCATGATCTGGGCTTCAACCCAACGCTGTGAATCTATTTATATACCGGCCATGCTTTTAAATCCAGTTGTAGTCAATAGAAAAACACTAAAACTAAAGGAAGAAAAAACCTGGAGATAGTCATCTTAAAATCTTAAAAGGTTGTTTTCCCCTCCTTCTATATATTTTTCTTTTGATACCTACACAAGAAATGTGTAACAGTGTGGGGGGCCTATCCTGGAAAGGGGTCATACAGGAAACCGATGCCTCTCGGTACCAGGCATTCCTAGCATATGTCTGTTGGGTTATTAGGGGTTACACAGATTCCAGAGGCACGGCGGCTCACAAGTTGACGGGCTTCCTGCCCCCCCCCCCTCCCCCTTCTTTTACTATCACATCCTCCAATAAGACAAGAGTAAACTTGAGACATATTCTATAAAACTCCCCAGAATCTGAAGTGTGTGATCTTTCTCTACACACCTCAGCAGAATATCCTGGCTGCTCTTGACCCGACCTCCCAGGATCAGCTCCTCCTGCCAGTGCATGAACTTCCGGCTGAAACCATGGCAACCACCCTGGAGACGCCCGGCAATGTCAGGACTCTGAATGGACGAGCAGCAGAGGAACAGAAAGAAAAACACAAATCAATAAGTTTTTTTTTTTTGCAGTTGTGAGCGCAACCTTCATCCACTTACAATCTTTATACAATTTACATTATGATTGAAATGTGTGAGTTTACCTCTCCTAGCTCCTTGTTGGGCGCACTGAGAGGGCAGTCAGGGTCGGAGGGGTCTAAACACGGCCTGTTCATGTAGGCATGTCCCACCTAAGAGATAAACAATGTTAAAAACGTCTCAGTATACGGGGAAAACGTATGCAAATAAGCACTTTGTTCATTCAGTAAATCTGTCAGTCTGCATTGTTTCCTACCTGTGCTTTGTCCAACATCTCCTTAAATCCTTCCAGTCGAGTGAACTGACTCAGCTCCTCCATCAGCTTGACAGGATCTAGATTCATCCACTGGATATCTGGCATGCCCCTGGAGAGCAAAGACGCATATAATATGAGCATCAACCCAGACATATTTGACAATAACTTGAAGAAATAACTGTAAAATAACTTTTATCACTTTATGCCTGCAAGGATACATGGCTTTGCTTTCCTGCAAATCTTCACTGTGAGCAGAAAAACTTTAATTCTTTCATTTCAGTTTAATTCTCTCTCCCTGGGCCGGGCTATGCAGGAGGCTAGCTGCAGATACAGGATAAAATAGCGTTTATTATCCTGTTTCACGCTGCCACAATGCCCAGGGAAAAGGCACGATGGCTGCCTGCTCGCTTCCATTCCTCAATGTCCTGCACTGAGTCATAACGATTACCTCTGACTCCCAAACATCTTGATAAGGAGGGAGGGAAGGGGAACGTTTGGGAGGATGGAGGGGAGGGATATAGGTGAGGAATGAGACGAGAAGCAAAGGGGGAAATCTCACACTTGTCTGTCTCTTCTGAGCATCACCTGTACCACTATCCCTCTTCGTTTTGAGGGGAAAAAAATCATAATTTGCTCTCTAGGAAAGTCTATGAATCTACCATAAACAAGCTTTTAGCTTTAACAGTATTCTTGCTGAAGGAACAAATATACATCTAGATTGTTTTACATGCATTGACCAATAAGTTAGCATGAATATAAAGCTAGATATCCTGCTTCCCCCCCCCTTATTTATCTTTTAGAATATTATTCGCTTTTACTCAACAAAAGAAATAATATCCTACATTATTGGCAAGATGTTTTGATTCAGAGCAGATAAACACTTATGATTGACATGTTCTGCAGTCCAACAATGTAAGAAAGAAGAGGGACAGAAAGAGATGGAAATAAAAGAATCCCAAAGTATCCCAATCTCCCTCCAATGGCTCATGAAGAGAGCTCTTCTCCTATTCCCACATACCAGGGTCTCTTTTGCTGCTGCTCGCAAAGACAAACTCCTTTATCAGCTAGTTTTTGCTTGAGTGAACCAGGCCTGGGCCCTTTTGTTTTTTCATAGATTGCTGCTCTTTGTTCTCCACAGGTTTTTTCACTCTCTCTCTCTCTCTCTCTCTCTCTCTCTCTCTCTCTCTCTCCCAATCTGCCTCTCTCCCTCTTCCCCTTTCTCTCTCTCCATCTCCCTCTTTTTTTTGTTGCATTTAAAACCAGAGCTGAAGTGAAGCGGAAGCTGAGGGGGACACGGGCCTCAGTGACCACCACAAGTATCCTTCAGCTCCGCATGAGAAATCTGCAAATAAATCTATTAATAAATAACAACAGATGCTGAACACAGTGTGTGATTTACAGGAACACTTGGAAGATGTGTGCATCATCAAAGACCCTCTCTGGGGCCAACTGTGAGATGCTAAGGATGGGAAACTTGTTTGTTTCTGTATGTGCTGGCTTGTCATGCAACATACCGCTGTCAGCTCAACTCTGAAATCTAAACAAATAATCTGTTTGCAAAGAAACATCTGCTATGATCTAAACTATATTTTATAAACTGGGGACTCAATTGAAATATCACTCGGACGAGAAAAAAAAGCTCTCTTTCAGTGACTCAATTTCTCAAGAGAACTTAGTGCTGAAAAAGAAGCAGAAGGAAAAAAAAATCAGCAAATGCCCAAATACGCCCAGACCTCACTGTTAACCGTCTTGCAGCCTCTCTCTGTCTTTCTCGAGGGACTTGAGGCTTGAATACTGCCCATTTTATTTGTTGGACAACTTGGGAGCTGGGAGCCCGGGGCATTACCATGAGAATGCCGAGTGTTAGCCGTGAGCTGACAAAGCCGGCCCCCCTCCCTCCTCCGGGGCCCCTGCACTGATGGACACTCACTCGTAAACTGAAAGAATGCTTACCATTGTCTGACCCAAAGGGCTCCCCTGCCACCACCACCACCACAGCCGCCTCCCCGCCCTCCGTCCTACCGACCCACCACCCAGTTGCTGCTGCAGCCATCTCCTCTCTCCATCCCTCCCTCGCTGCATTTCTCCCTCACTTTCTCTCTTTGAATTTCTCTGTCAGNTCCTGGAGTGGCCTAGCCAGTCTCCAGATCTCAACCTCATAGAAAATCTTTGGAGGGAGTTGAAAGTCCGTGTTGCCCAGCGACAGCCCCAAAACATCACTGCTGTGATGTTTTGGGGCTGTCGCTGGGCAACACGGACTTTCAACTCCCTCCAAAGATTTTCTATGAGGTTGAGATCTGGAGACTGGCTAGGCCACTCCAGGACCTTGAAATGCTTCTTACAAAGCCACTCCTTTGTTGCCCGGGCGGTGTGTTTGGGATCATTGTCATGCTGAAAGACCCAGCCACGTTTCATCTTCAATTCCCTTGCTGATGGAAGGAGGTTGTCACTCAAAATCTCACGATACATGGCCCCATTCATTCTTTCCTTTACACGGATCAGTCGTCCTGGTCCCTTTGCAGAAAAACAGCACCAAAGCATGATGTTTCCACCCCCATGTTTCACCGTAGGTATGGTGTTCTTTGGATGCAACTCAGCATTCTTTCTCCTCCAAACACGTCTAGTTGAGTTTTTACCAAAAGGTTATATTTTGGTTTCATCTGACCATATGACATTCTCCCAATCCTCTTCTGGATCATCTAAATGCTCTCTAGCAAACATCAGACGGGCCTGGACATGTACTGGCTTAAGCAGGGAGACACGTCTGGCGCTGCAGGATTTGAGTCCCTGGCGGCGTAGTGTGTTACTGATGGTAGCCTTTGTTACTTTGGTCCCAGCTCTCTGCAGGTCATTGACTAGGTCGCCCCGTGTGGTTCTGGGATTTTTGCCAAGCTGCTTACCTATTGCAGATTCAGTCTTCCCAGCCTGGTGCAGGTTTACAATTTTGACAGTTCTTTGGTCTTGGCCATAGTGGAGTTTGGAGTGTGACTGTTTGAGGTTGTGGACAGGTGTCTTTCATACTGATAACGAGTTCAAACAGGTGCCATTAATACAGTTAACAAGTGGGGGACAGAGGAGGCTCAAAGAAGAAGTTACAGGTCTGTGAGAGCCAGAAATCTTGTTTTTTTGTAGGTGACCAAATACTTATTTTCCACCATAATTTGCAAATAAATTCTTTAAAAAATCAGATTTTTTTTTCTCATTTTGTCTCTCATAGTTGAGGTCTACCTAGGATGAAAATTACAGGCCTCTCATCTTTCTAAGTGGGAGAACTTGCACAATTGGTGGCTGACTAAATACTTGTTTTCCCCACTGTACATTGACTTGCTGTAATCTTATTGATGGAAGAACTTTGATTCCGGCCTAGAATTTTAAAGTTTGGACTTCCGTGGGAATTAAGGCTGTACTCTGTAACTCTAACAAACCCTGTGAACTGGTATTGAACTAATTCAGAATATAAATTGGGAAAATAAAGTCAGTTGTCTATCAGTCTTGAGTTGCAAGTATGCACATGCTTTTCCACACTACCACATTCTTTGGTCATCACTCATTTAAGGTTTTTGTTTGGATGTCAATTACGGAAGAATCATATCCCAATAAAAACAGAAACAACAAGACACATAAGATTAAGTGAATCTACTTACATAATAATAACCGGAATGTCAGGGCATCATAATAGCAGAAAAACCTTGTTTTTGTTTCCTTAAATCGTCATCTGTTTTTAATTATTTGAAGTTTTAAAAATGTCTCCTACCTGTTTCTTTCTCTCAAAAAAATAAATCCCTGTATCTTCTCCTAAACAGATTTGGTTGAAAACCTATGAGTTTATCCAATGTTTTTCCCCCCTGTCTACCTGTGTAAAGGCAGCTGTCCTGTCTTTCCATTTCACCTCACTTCATCCTGACGGGTGGGGCTGTGAGGTAAAGGCAGGTAGATCTGGCAGCCACTCAGAACTAAGCCGCTCCCTTATACGTGTAACTGCTTTACCAGAGTTTACTCTGCCAACTGTCAAATACCAGAGACTGAAGTGTTCCGCTGCTTGTAACTTAAAAGAAAAGGGTGGTTTGCTGTGTAATCTTTTCCTTTGTGTGAGTGTAAAAATAATAAGTTGAAGGCAGAATTTTACTTTTCCGCACACACACACACACACACACACACACACACACACACACACACACACACACACACACA